TATCCAGAGAAGCCTCTGGAGGCATCTTTAACAAATTAATAAAGATATGAGCAAAACCTCACCTTAACTTCAAAAAATATATATATATATATATATATTTCATAAGCAAAATATATCCCATATCATTAATAAATTATTATTTTATTTAAAAAATACTAAATACAATTTAATTTTCTAGGCAAATTTGCCTGAAAAACAGTTTAAAGAATAATAAAATTTACTAAAAACTAGCAAACTGTAGTAAAGTTTAAATAGCATAAGTGCCAAGTAGAAGATCTTTTATTTAAAAAAAAATAATAATAAAAAAATAAGAAATAAAATATTTAAAAAGTAAATTTAAATTCAATAGCCTTCTAAATACTATAAAGTACAACAATAGAATTAGTTTTAAACTAAATTCTACTGTCTAATATGTGTAGATTGGATATAATAAAATGTTTACTTTGAATAAAAATTATTAGACTATTAAATTTAGAAATATTTGTAAAATATAATTAGAAAAAAAAAGTCTTAATAATTAGACTATTGATAGCTATATATAGTCTTTAAATTATAATAATATAAAGCTAGTATTTGCCAAAATAACTAATTAAGAAAACCAGCTTTTCACTTTATATAATTATAAGAAAAAGAAGAAAAATAAAATAAATAAAGATAAATTATAAAGAATAATAAGATAAAAAATAAAATAAAAAATAGTTTTTATTAATAATATTCAAAAAATAATAGTCAAAATATTATTTTATTTTATTTTATTTTATTTTTTTATAGTTAAAGTCTCTATCTTGGAGATGCAATATTTTATTCAAGTTTTGTTAGAAAACAGATGTCTCTAAGGGCTTTCTTACATTGGAGATTACAACTAGTCACACATGCACTTTTGGTGCCTAATTTAAGTAGTCTGCTTACACATTGCTATATAAGTTCTATACTAGTTGCCATATCTGCAAGCTAACTAAAAGTCTTGCTTATTTAAACCCTCTGCATATGCAATCCTTCTTATATTATGAGAACATCTTAAGGCTACACCTATTTAAGTTCCCAATACTTATCATTATCCTTAGAACTACTTTATCCTCAATAGAAAACTTACTGGAGCCTTTATGTCCCATTATATGTTGTAGGTGGATTTGGAATTTTATAGATTCTGAATCCACTTAAGTGAATACTGAATGCATTTAATTTGTTTTGGAATCTTAAATCAACTTAAGTGAAAAAAAAATTTATAAAATTTAAACGATTAAAAATTATTTATTAATAAAAATAATTAATGAAAATTAAATGATTAAAAATTATTTATTAATAAAAAATAATTATATAATTAAGCATTATTTAATTTAAGGAATTATCCTTTATTTTTACATTTTAAACTATATGGATGACAACTACTTTCACATGGTATATTAGAACATTTACATTTACAGTTATTATTTTTGCATTTGCCTTTACAATTACAATTTACTCCTGTTACAGTTGACATTGATTGCATTCTTGCTGCTTTTTGAACACTAATAACATTATTTTTGCAAACTTCCAGCTCTTCATATTTATTTGAACCCAATGGCATAAGTTCATTTGCATTAAAAGTTGTGTCAATGATTCCATTTTTATATTGCAAATGGTACATCTTGTTTGGTAATTCTTTAATTACTTTGCAGGGTAAAGTGTGCCGGTCAATATTGTTATAATCTATTTTTGGAATTGCAATACAAACATATTCATTAATAGTATATTTGAGTTGATGTTTATTTTTATTTAGCATTTGATTTTTCATTCAGTCCTGATAGGTAACAAGTGATTGATTTGCATATTTACGAGAAAGTTGGTGGTGTGATTGAATATTTGATGATAATACTTCTTGTATATTAAACTTTATATAAAAAAAATATTATATATAGTATATATTTATAATAAAACTACTATGAATAGCATGTACGTACATTGTTTTCAAGACTAGTTAGTAGCAAAGATTCAGATTAACTTGATGAAAGTTCAATGTATTTAGGTAAAGATTTAGTATTCTTTAACAATGAAGACAAGACTTGACTTGGTGATAGAGATTTAGTTTGATTTTGTAATGAAGATTCAATTTGATTTTGTGGTGAAGATT